ATAAATGACTAATGATCATACACTCGCAGAAATAAAGGTACAAAATCTGTCACTGGGGCGGTACCTTTACAAAAAAAAAAACATTTTTGTTCTTAACAGGTCCCTAAAGGTACATATTAATACCTAAATATGTACAAATGTGTACCTCATAGTACTTTAAAGGTACAAAAGTGAATCTTAAAAGTATAAAGTTGGACCGTAAAGGTACTAATGTTCACTTATATGGTACAAAAGAGTACTTTTTGAAAAGGTACCGCCCCAGTGACAGATTTTGTATCTTTATTGAATGTGTATGACTAAATAAAATAACTAAAAGAAGAATAAATGAATATAAACAAATGAAAATAAAACACAATACAATAGAATGGTTGCTTTCTTGAAACAACACACAAGTAAGTTTGCTACAAGGATTCTCCGATTCTTAGTTAGATTCTTCACTAACATTAATAAACATAATTAAATACAGTAATAAATGTACTGTTTAATGTTTTTCACGTTAGTAAATACAGTATGTTAATTAACATTAATTAATGTAACATTATTGTAAGTATTATCCATATTTTTCAAATCATGCTGGAGTCTTAATGCTGGCATTTGAAGATTCTTTTGTTGTTCTGAAAATGTGCCTATATAAACAGAGTAAGAGCATTGTATGGATATATTTCAATGTTAGTATTCTCATTCTTTTCAAATGACCATTCTTAGATGAAATAATTATTGGAAGCTTTAAATTACTTCATATGTGTTTATTAACTAAGAACATCAAAAATGCTTTGCAGATGGTGATGTTTCGGAAATGCAGGAGGTAAACAGCAACTGGTCAAGTCTACACACTTTAAAAATAAATAAATTGCATTTACTCCATTTATTAAGTTAATTAAGTGGTTGCAAACCATTAATTAAGTGGTTGCAAACCATACAAATGGGCTGAATTTAAACAAACACATTAAATTAAGCAATGTGTCTTTACTTAATTTGTTTGTTTAAATTCAGCCCGTATAAAGTGTTTGCAATCACCTACATTAAAAAATGGAGCAAATTCAATGAATTATTTATTTCAGTGCAGACATCTGTGTGGCAGAATATATTTAGTGCTCATTATGAACATTATGCATTGATGAAGTACTTCTAGATTCATCCTTCACTCACCTTGGTATTAACTAGGCCTAGGGACAGAGGTCTCATACTGTAAATGGTGCAGGATTTTGTCCAGTACTTTATTTTGTCCAATATTACTTTAATATATCAAGGTTGTATTTCTGTAACTGTGTGTTGACAAGAATTCATTGTTAATGAAGGTGACATTGCCCGATACATCTTAACAGGCTCAGTCAGCGGAGCGCTTGTCTAACCTATCAGATTTAGATCTGCTGAGTCAGCTGTCAGTTCCTACTGTCACTTTCTGTTTTCTCAGTCACAGATAAATGACAATCAGGGAGCATGTGCGCCGTGTTTCTTCCAATCTGTTTGAACCGCACTTTGAAAACTAAAAAGCAGTTTGTACTCAGATAGCAAAAATCCATTCATGATACAAAAGTGTTGTGGGGTCACTCTTATAAAACGTCAGTGTTTTTGTATCTGTTTGCCTTTTGATCCAATGAAATGAATGAGTTGAAGTGTATCACTATAAATAATTACTCACACACACATACACTACGGCCAATTTAGTTTATTCAATTCACCTATTGTGCATGTCTTTGCAGTGTGGGGGAAACCAGAGCATCCGGAGGATACCCTCACAAACACGGGGAGAATATGATAACTTTACACAGAAATGCCAACTAGGCCAGTCAGGACTCGAACCAGTGACCTTCTTGCTGTAAGGCGACAGTGCTAACCACTGAGGCACCATGTTGCTCATTTGTATCTTTTTTATCCTATGAAATTAATGAAATATTTAACACAAATGAAATGTATCACTATAAATAATTGCTGAGAGCTGAATATATGAAAAATACATTAATTAATTTTTTCTTCAGCTTAGTCCCACGTTTATTAGGGGTCAGCACAGGAGAATGAACCGCCAACTACTCTGTATGTTTTATGTGGCGAATGCATTTTCTCAGCTGCAATCTAGTACTTACTGTAGAAAACAAACATAAAAAAAGTAAAAAGTCAGTGCTCTAATTTTTTTTTCAGTTTTGTTTTTTTCTATATCCTTTAGTTTGCTCTAAAAATAAATAATAACCAATACGATTTATTAAATATTTTGTAAAAGGCAATTAGATGACTTTACTTAAAGCGAGAGTTCAACCAAAAATTAAAATGTACTCATTATTTACTCGCCCTGAAATGGTTATAAACCTTTATGAGCTTCTTCAATTGAACACAAAATAAGAAATTTTGAAAAAAGGTGAAAACCTGTAACTAGGAAAAAAATAGTATGGAAGTCAATGTTTACAGGTTTATAGCTTGGTTAAGATATTTTACTTGATTAAATTACAGATTTTTTTGTGAACTACCCATTTTGTTATTGTAGTAAAACCCTTGCCTTCACCCAAAAAATGTAAAGTACCCACACCATTTACTGTACTCTCCGTCAAGTGGTTTTAAACCTTTATGATTTTCCTTTTTTTTTCTATTCACAATTCTTTAAAAACATTTTAAATTAAATACTGTTTAAATTTGTGTTTATTGTATTCTGATAAACACAAAATAAGATGTTTTGAAAAATGCTGGTTGATGGTACCAACAGGCTTCCATTGTAGGAAAAATATGTCAGTGGGTACCAACAACCAGCATTCTTAAAATAACCTGTTCTGTGTTTATCTGAGAAGAAAAAACTAATTCAAATAGTTTTGTGATTCCATTCATTACTTTTTCTTTGGCTTCGTCCCTTTATTCATCAGAGGTCGCCACAGCAGAATGAACCAGCAACTTATCCAGCATATGTTTTACACAGCAGATGGCCTTCCAGCTGCATCATAATACTGGGAAACATCTATACACACTCATTCACTCACATACACTACGGGCAATTTAGTTTGATAATTCCTTACATTTATATAGCGCTTTTCTGGGCACTCAAAGTTCTTTACACAATGGGAGGAATCTCCTCATCCACCACTAGTGTGCAGCATCCACCTGGATGATGTGACGGCAGCCATTTTGCGCCAGACCACACACCAGCTGATTGGTGGAGAGGAGACAGTGATAAAGCCAATTGGAATATGGGGATGTTTAGGAGGGCATGATGGACAGAAGCCAGTGGGCAGATTTGGCCAGGATGCCAGGGTGAAACCCCTACTCTTTTTCGAAGGACATCCTGGGATTTTTAACAACCACAGAGAGTCAGGACCTTGTTTTAACGTCTCATCCGAAAGACTGAGCAGTATAGCATCCCCGTCACTATACTGGGGCAATAGGACCCACACAGACCGCAGGTTGGGTGCCCCCTGCTGGCCTCACTTACACCACTTTCGACAGCAACCTAGCTTTCCCATGTGGTCTCCCATCCAGGTTCTGACCAGGCGCAGCCCTGCTTAGCTTCAGTGGGTGACCATGTGAGAGTTGCAGAGAGCTAGCTGCCAGCTAAAGTTTATTCAAATCACCTATACCGCATGTGTTTAGACTGTGGGGGAAAATGCAGCACCTAGAAGAAATTAATGCCAACACTGGGAGAACATGCAAACTCCACACAGAAATGCCAACTGACCCTGCTGTGACCCAGCGACCTTCTTGATGTGAGGCGACAGTGCTGTGCAGGGGCGGACTGGGACTAAAAATCAGCCCTGGCATTGTAGCCACACCAGCCCACATTACCACACCGACACAGCACCACCCAAGGACACACACATTCACTACTTATATTGGTGTACAGATGGTAAAATTATATAAGCAGTACCTATTTAAGAGATATTTAAACATTTAATGTATGTGACTGAAACAAAAACAACCCATTCATATATGCAATCATCTCATTCATTTTCTTTTCGGCTTAGTCCCTTTATTAATCTGGGTATCGCCAACTTATCCTGCATATGTTTTATACAGGGGATGTCCTCAAAGCTGCAACCCATTAATGGGTTACCCAATTCCCTATTGGCCTACCGAATTCACCTATAGCATGTGACTTGTGAAGGAAACCAGAAGGAAACTCACGCGAACATGCAAACTCCACACAGAAACACCAACTGACCCAGATGAGGCTCAAACCAGCGACTTTCTTGCTGTGAGGCGACAGCACTACCTACTGTGCCACTGCACTGCCCCATTTCGAGACTAGTTCAGTTAATTTTATGTATTTGGCAATGTCTGACTTGACTGCCTTTCTCTTTTTATGGTCCATCTCTGTCAATTAGCTTGTGTTGCACTTACTGTTTGTTTGACATTCTTGCCAAATTTTGATTATGTCTGCGTAACCTCAGATTGGGTCGGCCCATCTCGAAACCAGCCGGTTATTGCTGATTGACCAATGCTTAACATGTACTATTATTCTTACTATTATCACCATCATCATCATATTATTCACATCTCGCACGAGATAAAAGCTGCCTACATTTAAAAAACAATACATATGAAAAAATAAAAAAATTAAAAAATAGCTGACCGGCCCACATTTAAAAAATGGTCCGGCCCTTCTGGCATTTGCCAGAATTGCCAGATGGCCAGTCCACCCCTGGTGCTGTGTCGTTCTTTTTGGACGAATAATTCCTTTAAAATAATTAAGGAGATCATGAATAAAAGCATAACTATAAACGTAAAAAGTAAACTTTGTTACAAATGCTTATTCATGTCTTTAGGTAAATGTCAACTTGTCATTTTTAGACAACAGGTATCTAATTGCTTTAGCGGTGCATTTTATAGGTGGAACACTTTTAAATAAGATGAAAAATACAAACGGCTGCACAAGCATCATACACACACTTACATTCATAATCTCACCGTTATAAATACACCCTGATTATTTATTTACCATATAAACAAGACAAGTCAAAACCCAGATTTATAATCTCTCTCTGTAAGAAAAAGTGCACGCTTTATAAACGGGGTTCTGGTTTTAAAAGTTACCCAACTGTCGGTGAGAAAAGAAAGGATATTCATGGTCTGACCACTTCCTTTATTTGACATAATCGCCTCCCAGCGGTAGACTACTACTAAATGCATTCGTACTAAATGCACGAAGCGAAAGCGAAACCGGAAGCTTTTTCTTTTGCGTGCAAGCTGTTGTAGAAAATGGAGAACATCGTGACCAACAAACCTAATCTCATCAAATGGCTTAGTTTGGATGCGACTCATTTATTGCAGCATGTTCAGTCAAAAGGGATAATAAAAACTGAGGAGTACAACGATCTGATGTCCCTGAGTTCTTCTAGGATAATAGTTATCCACCTTTTGGATTTACTCATTGGAAAGGGTGAAAGTACGTGTCGGTCATTTCTGGAGTTACTAAAAGAAGATGATGTAAATGAAAGTTTTCCTAAGCTGAGAGAGTGGATCATAACAGTGGACACTTCGGGTAAGTTGCAAATGCGTGCACACTATAATAGTGTGGGCTACTTCGTTAATTACAGTTCATAAAATGCATGTGGCTTATTTTAGCTGGTGTGTATGCACAGAAAATGAAAAAATGTTTTCTTAAAGATCACATGGGAAACCTTAGATGTTAGGCAGTTTTTGAATGGATGAATACGCCCAATTGATGTAGGCTACATGTTCACAATTGTCACCATGGAAAAGCAGATTCAAGTTCAAGTTCAACACGTGGAATAAGCTACGTTTACATCAAACATGAATTAAATGGTGTCTACAAGCCTTACTGTTAAAATGTATAGTAATCTTTGGAAACTATAGGCCTTAAACCTATAAGCCATAAAAATACAATTATTTTGGCTTAATAAAAAATAAGATTTAGGTTATACATTTGTCAATGGCTACAGCTGAAATCCAACTTCAAATATTTTATGTTAACTGCTGAATAATGCATTAAGCTAAATTAAATACTGTATATGTTCTTGTCTTTTCCAGTGACTGCAGACATGAATGGAAGTCCAAGTCTCAAGGCATCAGGCACCCAAATAACATGTTTGTGGGATTTATTTATATTTATTGAGGACATTATGGGATTAGAAATGAACACAATTTGACAAATATTTTATGTAAACAGGCAACATCTCTGCATCCAAGGGCAGTCATGTATATGCACCTACCATAGCAGGTTCAAGTACAGGGCCCGTTGTAATTAATACAACAACGACTACACGTGGCGGATCAGACTGTAAGTGTAATTACAAGTAAGTTAGAAGTGCTATACATAAATTGACTGAAGCTATGAAACATTTTTTTATATTGAATAAAATCGCATGAAACTATTACTACTACTGCTGCTACTACTACTAATAGTGTCAAAATAAACGTGTTTTTCTTCTAAATTTTCAGACCAGAAAGATGAAAGAGACTGGGGAGGAGGAGAAACTGGTGACAGATCAATACAAGGTTAATTATTTATGACATATTTAAAAATATACACATATATAACATTTTTAATTTATAATTGTATAGATAAATCAAAATATATATATCTTTTGTATTATATTAATTATATATACATATTTTTTTCCAGATTGTCAGAAATTTCTAAAAGCAAACATCAGTGCATTGGTTCAAAATGTGCAGATGATTGATCCAATTCTTGATGATCTTAACCTGCACAAAGAATCCACTGCAAATGTGAGAGCGAAGACAACCAATCAAGATAAGATGAGGAAGCTGCTTGATTGTGTGAATTGCGAAAGCATCGCTAAGAAGCTGGTCAAGGCTTTGCTCAAGCATGAAAAAGATCTAATGATGGAAATCATGCAAGGGGTGCCCGCTCGTTAACTACACGGAAATGTAATTCATCTTTTTTTCAAGCATTGCAAAATTGAAAAAGTTACGCAGATGGAATAACTGGTAGAGTACTGTAGCTGTTTGCTGAAGAATTGGGTACAATTTTATTTATATATTTTAAATTGGTCTTTGCAGGTCCACAATGTACCTCACCATTGGAAACAGTCTTTTATCATTCCAGTAGCAAACCATGACCTCACTTGTAATGAAAGTTTGTGAAAAAAAAAATAGTAAAAGAGGTATTATTCAGGGTGTCCGCAGGGTCTTACAAAGTCTTAAAATGTCTTAAATTTCTATATATGTACAATAGGGCATGTGTTTCCTTTTACAAATATTATTGAGAAAAATCCATATTCTATTCTTAAACATAAAATCACTTAGTAACACATATATTTTAATCTCATATAGAAATAATTCATAACTAAAATCATCATAATTAATCATTGTTGTTATTATTATTATTATTATTATTATTAATATTAAGTTGGATATTGTTTCTTTATTTTTTGGAAAAGTCTACTTTTAAAATTTGACACATTAAAACCACTGCAGAAATGTTCTAACCAATAGGCCCATGTCATATACAGTAGGTAAGAGACACTAAATAAATAACCTACTAAAAATAAAATCCACTAATGCATATTTATATATAACCACTGCGAGTTATATATGTTTAGGAGACGTAATGAAAATTCCGCTTTTAAATATTAGATCACCTAATTTGCAGCAAATGAAAAAAAAGTTCATAGGTCTACTCTAATGTCAAGAGCAAATTTTTAACCTTGCTCTGATGGCTTCGTTTTATATGATTTGCGTAGAATCGATTTGAACCTGATTTGTTGGTTTGGTTTTTTAAAGTAAAACAGAAGAACTCACTGTGTAAGGTTTTAAATAGCAGTTGCAAAAAAAGTATTGGTGTAAAAGTATCAGGGCTATCCAATTTGTATGAAACACAGGTGTTAAAGAAAGCTCATCAGATTACATCTAACATAACCAATCCTCTGTTTGATTCATTTCAAACCTTTCCCGTAGGATCTCGGTAGAGGGTCCCTTTGGCAAGGACCAAGAGATTAAAAATTTATCATGTTCCTTGTGCAATTGATTTGCTAATTTTTAATGGGAAGAGGTAGCCACTGTTTTTACTAATGGTAATACAGCATGATCTTTTTCTTGTGTGTGGTATGGTATATATAATGTAAATTTATTATGCTGCAGAAGAAATAGTCCAGAAAAGAGAGCATAAAGTTTACAGTAAAGTTTAAAGTAACAGAAAATTAAATATAGTTGGACCAAAGAATTGTGTAACTCAGTTTAGCATAAAATATGGAAACAGTGGTGTTATGTACAGTCTATTAAGGGAACATAGCAATAACACATTTTTTAAGTAATCAAAAACTCTATCTTTATTTACAGTATGTTTTTTTTATTATTGAGAACTGTTTTTCATTGTTTGTTTCTTTATGGTCTTATTAAATTGCTCAATAAGTAAATTTCCATCCATCTGACCATATGAATTTGATAAAGAGTTATAATTGTAATGAAATAAATTTTGTTAAAAAAATAAAAAAATAAAAATAACTTGAGTTTTAAGTTTTTAAAATCTTTGTTGTTGATGTTCACACATTTATATACTGTACACTATCAAACACAAATGTTCACAAATATTCAGGTAAGGAAGATGGGTTAAGACAGCTCTCTGTAGACTAGTATACATGTTATATATATATATATATATATATATATATATATATATATATATTAGCATATTTAGACCTATTGATTGCCAAAGTATCTTCTAGTATTTACAATAGGGAAATTTGCTATATAGGTTGACAACTAACATCTGAAAACCTCCATAGATTTTCTGCTCAAAAGGATTTGAATTTATGCTGTCAACCATTGTGCTGTATAACTATATATATATATATATATATATATATATATATATATATATATATATATATATATATATATAGGTATTATAAGGTTAGTCTGTACCAAAGCCACAACTGGAAAAATCTAACATAAAACTTAAGATCACAGTCCAAAAATGATTACATCCGAATTAATAGGTTGGGGGAAATATTAAATAAAATTGTAATAAACAGGAAATATTAAGAGAAACAATTTTTTTGTGTGTGTGAAAATCTTGTATTTTATATAGGCATATAGTTTTTGTTGTTGCAATAACTCATTTTAATTAAATTGCTTTATCTATCTATTCCTTAAAATGTTCGGTGACCAAACTCTTATTTTAATAGATAGAACTTTATATATAATATATAACTTTTTTTGTTGAAATGCACCAAAAACTATTGGCTATATTTACACAGAAATCGTATAAAATATTAATTTTCTAAAGGAAGTGTACTGATTTATGCTAAGCACTAGACTATGGACTATATCAATAGTACTTTAAAATCGGCATACTTTTATTCTACGAATCTCGCAGCCACATTTCTGTTCCATAATCATGATGTGACATTTGCACGGTTTCAACTGGAAGCGCAGAAACATCGTTCAGCCACTAGGTGGAGATGGTGATTAAGCACAAGGAAGAACGAGCCTAATCCTAGACTGAGAACCTATTTGTGTTCAGCATGCCACAGGTAAAGATTAAAATTAAGTATTGAAAGCTTTTGAAAGTAATATTTATTTATGTGGAGACGCTACAGTCTAATTTACAGTCGTAGCATCAATTATGCTCAAGTTGTGGAGGTACTATTTGTGTTGCTTTGTGGTTTGTATCTAAACATTTTGAAAGCATTGTTGTATTCCCCTCGATTATTAATCGTGGGACATACACACAGTTCCTTGTCATTTATCAATTAGATGTACTGAAAGTAACATTTAATCTGAGTCAAAGACTTTGGCTATATGTTGCATCAGCATCCACGATTATGTTGAGAGCTTTAAGTGTTTCATCTGTGTGATGTGGTTATTGGTATTCTTGGTAGAGCAGAATTTAAAGGGATAGTTCAGCAAAAACTAATAATTATGTCATCATTTTTTCACCCTTTGCTACTTGTTTCAAACCCTTCTTCTGTTGAACAAAAAAAAAAGATATTCGAAGAAAGCTGCAAACCTGTAACCATTGACTGTAGGCTATTTGAAGTGTTTAGTTAAAGTCAGCTTTATTGTCAATTCAACCACATGTACAGTTACTCTCAGACCCTAGGTGCATAAGTGATAATATTAATACAAAAAGTAGAATTAATAAAAAATAATAATTTCAATAAATACAATTACACATAAAAAATAATCTAAAAACATTTGTAAAAATAAAAATTGTAAACAATACAATTACACTTAATGGCACATGTCAAGGAGTGCAAACCAGAGTTATGCAGATGAAAAACAGTATATAGTGCAAAAAGTATAGGCGAATTACCAGAGTGTATACATTTAGGAGGATGCACACGCATTGAGGTTGCTGAAAGAAATGGGAGCACTAGCATTTACAGTGAGGAAATGATATCCGATGTGGTACAGAGTTTGTTGTTGTATTAGAGATAACTTATATTGATTACATATTATATATATTATTTACATAATGCTTTCAGGGTATTATAACAGCTTGTCATGCACTGATAAGCACAGTTATTCAGCAAAATTAACGTTAAAGTGAGCGGCGTTCGTCTGACAAGTCAAAATGCATATTGGATAAGACGAAATGGCCAAGCATCCAACCCGAAATATACAACTACCTCATTGAAACTCTAAGTGATTTTACAAGAGAGAAGTTAAAGGCCTACAAGTCTTTGGATGCCTACAATGTTGTTCTGTGTGGTCATGTGCAAGAAAAAATGCTCTATGATTACCAGATTCAAAACTTTGAAGTACTAAAACCGAGGTTCTGCCCAGCCAAAGACAAGGAAAGAAGAGGGAACTGTACAAGGCCTGGGTTATCATCAACAAGCAAAACAACTGCATTCTGACAGCTAAATGCAGCTGTACGGCAGGGTATGTGAACTTACATTTTTACGTTTCATTCTAAGCATTCAGTGTCCGCAGTTTAATTCACCATATGTAACTGTTTTTGCTGAAACCATTGCTGCAAATTAAAACGAGTAATGTGTATGATTCAGCATAGCGTAAACTTGCCTGATATATTAGGTCCTCACTTCATTCAGCTCTTATGATGGCTTATAGGCAAAGAAGTCTGCGGATGGCATTAAAAGCAATGTGGTGAACGATAAAATTAAAGTTTCCTATTTTTGGACTTTCATATTTGGCATCATACTGCTCAACATGACATGTTTGCTATTGCAACCATCCTTTTTTTTGCAACTGGTATGCACAGTTCAACCTGTGTGATGTAGGTTGGTAATTCCCCTATAGTATAATGCGACAAAAGTATATAGTACAAAAAAGCTTGTATATATGATAAAGTGATAGTGTCTTAATAATATACAAGGAGACAGTATGAGGTAGGGCTAAGCAATTAATTGAAAAGTAATCGAAATAGACATTCAGAACCTATAATCGATCAAAATTTTTCAGGTCCAGTTTTTTCAATTACTTTCCCTACTGTTTGTGGAGTCTAGTGAACCTGCTCTGTTGAGGCTAATTTATACTTATTATATTATCCTGATATTATACTTCTGCCAAGCGCATGCGTATGGTATGGACTCGCACACCTCTCAAAAAAATTTAACTACATGTCACAACAAAATGTAGCGCAAGCTTCGTGATTGGTCAATTTGGTAGTGGTGATGTGTGTTTTAATTTCAGTTGTTCAGCGTAGATATCTATACAAAACTTATCAGTGAACTTTAAGGGCAAAAATATCAAATACATAAAATAATCATTCATTAATCTGAATCGAGTTAAATGGTCAATTAATTGAGATTTTGATTTTAGGCTAAATCACCGAGCCCTAGTATGAGGTAACTAGCAGTCCAATATTACAGAAAGAGACCGATGCAGATGTATGAGCGTGTGTGTTTACTATTGTTTACTAATGGAAGTCAATAGTTACAGATGTTCAGCTTTCCCTAAAATATATATATTTTTTGTGTGTGTTGAACAGAAGA